CATAACAATCTTCACCTATTTCCGTTGTCTGACTCTTACACTATTTGCATTCACGTCGGGAAATTGGAAGTCAAACGCGAGTTTTTCCGTGAAAATTAGTGGAAAAATCTTACAAAAAGGTAGGAAAATGTACTGCCTCAATGAGTTTTCCTCTTCAGATATGGTGTTCTGAGTGCAACGAAATTCCAAGAAAACCATGTGAAAACTAAATTCCTTAACCTACTATCTACAATATATGCCATACTGTTCCTTTTACTCAAATTTTACAATGAAATTCCTGACAAAGTATGGCCGAGGATGAGATTTAACCTACTATTTACATTATCTACAAGTATGCTCCAACATAAAAACTCAGATCATGGCTGTTGGGTTAACATGCGAAATATTCTAGTGAACCATTGACCAGTGCGGGGTGTTTTCGTGTTTATCAACCTTGTTACATATTTCTTGTGAAGATGTTTTCAACATCTCAACCTGATGTCTGTACCTCCGCAGACTCCCACTGATTTCTGTCGTACATTCCCTTCTTAGCTTGACTACGCAAGCTCCGGGCCAGGGTAGTTAAGCGGGCTGAGATGCAAAAGGCGGAAAATATCTTCACCGAATATATTCCTTAGCTGTACACAAATTAGGTTATCAATCTGGGTGTTTTGGAGGATAAATATTCACTCAAAGTGCCAATTGCTCGTAGTTAGATCGTTATTAGAGACAATTTCACCCAGTGGTATTACCGAATCCAATAGTTTGTATTTTCGTGGAACGAATCCGTAGTTACGGTGTACTAAGACAACCGACATAGCTTGAGAAAACATTATTTACGTGTTTTCACTTCTTCTGAAGATCAGATGAATGAAACACTCCCAACTTATTTCCATTTAGATCCTCTAAATCATAACATGAATTTCCTATTCTTCCTATCACTCTAGCAGGGGCATAAGTATCTGCCAGCTTAGCCGAGAATTTCTTAAGTTTATTTGAAAGGAAGAAATTTTTCTTCATTACAATTTCCCCAACATCGTATAGTGGTGCATCTTTGTTAGACCGTAGATTATAATGTTTTGCGTACCTGGTGTATGCTTTTTTTAGATTTTCTTTTACCGTTTCGAACACCTGTTTTAGATTTTCATTGATTGCGGCTGGCTCGTATTCGTCATCGTTTCCTGCTTCGCGTATTTTGCGGTATTCTTCGCCAGAGCTTATGTAATTTCTACCATAGTTCACAAAATATGGGGTGAAATTCGTCGATTCGTGCACAGCTGTTCGGATGGACATCGCAACTTTTTGAATTTCCTTATCCCACTCTCGGTGATCTCCGTTCAAGTGGGCTCGAATTGTTGCTACTATCACCCTATTTACCCTTTCAGTTGGGTTATTCGCTGGATGATAATTCGCGTTCCTCCAATGGTTTACATGGTACTTTTTTAGGAGTCGTTCGAACTCCTTTGACTTGAACTGAACCCCATTATCCGATATTATTACCTCTGGTACACCAAATAATAAAAATATCATATTTTCTAGGAAAGCAACCATCGGAGTAGTTTTGGCTTCCCTCAGAGGTTGAATAATCACAAACTTCGAAAACCAGTCCGTAACAACTAGCAACATGGTGTTTCCGTTTATGGATCGAGGAAAAGGACCAACAAAATCCACGGAAACAACCTGCCAAGGCAATGATGCCAACTTTTGCCGTCCCATCAGTGGTTGCCGATTCGAATTTGGGTATTTGATGCGCTTGCAGACGTCACACCCGAGGCAGTACTTCCGGACGTCATCCTGCATTTGAGGCCAGTAATATCGCTCCTGTAGCTTTCTCAGTGTCTTAAACTGACCAAAATGTGCTGTATCATGAGCTTCCTGAAGCAAATGGATTCGTTCCTGAACCTGAGGTATGTACTTCCATTCATAATTGGAATCACCTAGTTTTGAAGAGACGTATTTGTAGATTTTTCCGTTAACAACCTTAAATTCCTTGAATTTGATACTGTTTTTCAAGATGCTATCTTTTAGATCGTCATAGTCAATGTCTTTGATTGTGATGTTGTCAATCGATCTGGATAATGCATCCGCAGTTATATTCAGTGAACCCTTCCGGTACTGCAAATTAAAGTCGTACTGCTGTAATTTTAGGGCCCATCGTATGAGCTTCGCTGACCCACCCTCGGCACTGATTCTACTGAGCCAGATGAGACTTTGCGCGTCCGTGATGACCGTAAACTTGGAGCCCTCCACGAAGTGTCGAAATTTCTCTATGGCCATGAGGACACCCAGGCACTCTTTTTCCGTGGGCGCATATTTCTTCTGTGAGGTCGATAATTTCCTGGAGAAAAAGGCAATCGGGCGACGAATCCCTTCCTGGATTTGCACCAAAACAGCTCCAACAGCTACGTCCGACGCGTCGGACTCAATAATGAACGGAAGCGTGAAATCCGGATTCGCTAGTACTTTCGACGAGGTAAGTGTAGATTTAATTCTTAGAAATGCTTCTTCTGCCTGTTGTGTCCATATTAGTTTTCCTTTTCCTTTTTTTAAAAGGTCAGTAATAGGTGCAGTCAAATCGCTGAACTTTTCCACAAATTGTTTGTAGAAACTGACCATTCCAATAAACCTTCTGATGTCCTTAGGGGTCTTGGGAGTCGCATAGTCTAGAATGGGTTGAATTTTAGTGCTGTCGATCGCGAGTCCTTGGTTTGACAAAGTATAGCCAAGGTAACTTATTTGTTTCTGACAGAACTTTGATTTTTCTAGGCTTATAGTTAACCCCGCTTTTCTAAGTCTCTCTGCAACTATTTTGAGCAGCCTAAAGTGCTCTTCAAGAGTTTTAGACGTTATGATTATGTCGTCTAAATAGACGTAAACGTACGGTTCGAGATCAAACCCTAAAACTCTATTCATCAGCTTTGTTTGTGTAATCGGTGCACCTTTCAGTCCAAAAGGCATAACTTTAAACCTGTATAGGTTTTTACCGGCCCTAAACGAAGTATAATCTCTGCTGTCTTGGTGGAGTGGTATTTGCCAGTAGGCTTTCGATAGATCTATGACTGAGAAATAATTAGATTTTTCAATTCGACCTAGAATTCCCATCATGTCCGGAAATGGGTATGCCTCGTTTTTCGTTACTTCGTTGACTCGTCTACAGTCAAGACAAATACGCCACTCGCCAGATGCTTTTTCACAGGTAGTAAAGGGTTGCACCATTCTGACTCAGATTCCTCGATGACGTCCAATTCTATCATTCTGTGAATCTCCTTATCCATCTCCTTTTGTATGTGTGGGGAGCATCGATATTGTGGTGGTTTTTTTGGTTGAGCTCCTGGTACTATTTCGATTTTATGCACCATTAAATTCGTTCGTCCTAATTTTCCATCTGTATTTTTGAGCACCTCTAATATTTTTTCTAATGTTGTCCTCTCTTTTCCAGATAGTTCGTGCTCGGTAGTGATGTTACTGAGATCTTCATTCACGGGTGGTTCGATAGACGGAAGTTCAAGGCTAGTGTCTTCGTCTGGATTCAGTTCCTGAATTATTCGGGGTTCTACTGATTCTATGGTGAATACAATGTCTTCCTGCTCTTCAAAATAGGTTTCTATTACGTTTAATTGATCACTCTGAGCTGACTCATCAAATTCCAATCTTCTTACTGATTCTGTACTAACTATTGCTGGAGTTATATTAAATGCCTTCCAAAAATCAATCCCGAGTATTAGAGTCCTAGAAATTTGAGGAACTAATAACGTAGGTACTACGTTTGTATTCCCCTGAAACGTGTAAGGAATCATTACGATACCCTCACAGGCGTATGCAGTTTCATCTGCTGTTTTTATGCTGATTTTTATCGGGTGTACCCTAAATTTATGTTTTTGGACAATCTCTCTCGAATTTATAATTGTAGCGCTCGCTCCTGAATCTAACAAGGCAGTTATAGTTGTTCCTAGAACGTTAACTTTAATTTGCGGACATCTATTAGGTCGAATGTTAATGTGATGCAAAGTAGGCGTTTCTGTTTGGATCGGAGGTTCTGATTCTCCTTGATTGGAAGGCTTTGCTGGATTTCCAGAAAGATTGCTTCCTACGATCTCTCTGCTGAATCGTTTTTTTGCTGCTGGTTGGCGAACATGTGATTATTTGGGCAGTTAGAAGTAATCGTATTCATGTATCCACAAAAGTGGCAGAATACTTTCTTCGGTCTCTCACAGTTCCTCCAAAAGTGGCCGAATTGGCGGCAATTCCAGCAAAGAATATTGCTCTCATCGTCCCTGTTTTCTTTAGGTATAGCTCCTGTATTCCGTTGGGATGAGGTCTCCTTTGGTTTCTCCTGGGGTTTCCTAGGTACGTTTCGATTGATGGCATTCAGTTCTGCCTCTTGCTCTTCAGATTCATCCACTTCATCCCCCTCAGTGTCTTCTAAGTAGTTAACTTGGTGATGACGATTTCGGTTTCCGCTCGTGTAATTCTGGTACATTGACTTGTCCAGTCCATGGCACACCATTATTAAATCGTCAATCCTTTGAATTCTATAGAACGTTAGGAACGGTTTATACGCGGTTCTCATATTCGCCATGAGAATTTCCAGTTTTCTGCTTTCAGTCATCGGTTTTGTCAGTTGTTGGGCTAATTTCTCTATAGTTCCCACAAATGCATTGAAGGTTTCATTTGGAAATTGCCTACGATCCAAAATTTGCCTCTCTATTACTCCATCCTTGTTTGGTTGTTCAAATCTTAAACGGAGCTGGTACTTAAAATTGGTCCAGTTAGTGAACTTATGGCAGAATGTATAGTACCATTCTTCTGCTTCTGAATTTTCCCTAAACAAGAAGTTTGCTTGGCTTAGTAGTTCTTCGTCTGTCACGTTGTTGTTCCTAGCCAAAATTTCAACACGGTTTATGAATTGGGTCACCGTTGGTCCTCTTGTATCTCCTCCGAAGTTGATTCTCCATTTACTTATGGGCACGGTGTGTCTATAGCGATATTCCGTACTTTGCCTCGAAGGACGTGGCATGAACATGTTGTCAATGGATGACACGTGCGATGCTACAGAATTGGCGTATGGGCCACGCTGTAGTCTTAGGTTGGGACCTGGATGTGGGGGTGGTGGAGTAAGCGGTGGTGGTGGTGGTAGTGGTGGTGACGGTGGTGGCAATGGTGGTGACGGTGGCGGTATTGGTGGTGAGGGTAGTGGTGCTGGTCTCGGTGAAGGTATTGGTCTCGGAGAAGGTAAGGGTCTCGGTGTACGCCCTGGTGTTGGTGGCGTCGCTGGTACAGGTGGTTGTTTAGGGCTGGATGCGGGACCCGGTGGTTGAGTTTGTTGCAGATGTTGAACTGAAAACTGTCTTAGTTGTTCCATCATCATGGTCATCTGGGACGATAGTGTTTCTTGGATGTAGCGATTTATTTCTGTTTTCCACTGATCTACCACTTGCGCCTGCTCGTTCCAATTCGTCTGCGAATTACGACGCTGAAGTAATGGGTAGTCCTCCCTTCGAGAATTTTGAATTCTCGGCCATTCATCAGCGTTTTCTGAGTGACGTGGTATTGGTCCCGTAGCGGTTTCCAACCATTCTTGTTCAGAAAAGCTTGGAAATGGTTCTGGGAAATTCAGGTTCGGGTCACGATCTACTCTTTCCTCCAATCCTTGTACCCCACCCTGTGAGCAACTAAGTCTCAAGCTGGTTGGAGGGAGGCTGCTTCTTCTGTCGTCTGGATTTCCATATCGATCTAATAAACCCTCTATTTCCGCAATCAGTTCGTTTCTTACCCGCTGTTGTTCTCTTGTTATTACGTTGGTCCTAATAATTCTGGCTCTACAATGACGTAACCTTGAAATGTGTTTCGGTTCCGGACAACAGGTTTCTAAAATATGTCTTAAATCTTGCACTTTTTGTGATACGACTGGGTACTCTTTATGTTTATTAATTTATTTGATAAGGCTCAACCGAATTAACTTAACAGAGCCGAGGATTCTTGGTCACTATACAATACATCTTAAAGCTATAGTCAAAAGGTACAACACAATAAACACTTTATCTTCCGCTATCCAAAAAGCCTTCTCCATCAAAACTGGAGCCGCTTCCAGTAGTTTCATTGTATGGCAAATTGTTGTACGCCAACGAGGGTCAGAGCGCGTCCATTGCAGCAATGGACGCAAAATGTGGTCAGCACTCACACACTCATCACGAAACGGTTGCTTTCCAAAGTCGACGACGCATCGACCGAAAGAACTGCTGATGAAGAACAATGAGGAGGACCACACAATGGTTGCTGCCGAGTAAACAGACGATCGCGTAGCACACATCGAGAGTGGCCTGCTTTTGTCGACAGCCGAGTGAACACTGACTGGGTACTCTTGGTGGATAGATTTTTTTGATACTAATACTTTTGGTCTTTTAATTTCATCTAACATCGCTTTTTTCAATCTCTGCCTTTTTCCTTGTAAAGATCCGTCGACTGGTAAACATCGTAATTTTAGTTCATATTCGACTTCGTCATTCAGTAAGTCACTAGGGTTTACGAAGTACATGAATATGTTTGATGATTGATTGCTCATTTTAATTTTAATATTCTATTTCGTTTTAGGTAACTACTGCTGCTCAACGTTCTACGATACGTATGTAATGTGAACAAATTTTAGATTGCTAAGTTCAAAATTCTTTAAGAAGCTTCGACTTGCTACAATTCTAGTAATATTCTTTATCAAATAAATGTATATAGAATAGTTTTTAAATTTAAGAACGAAATTTAGGCACTGAGGCTAACCAACTCAATCAAAATTCACAACAAAATCAATTCAATTCAACTTAACTAATTCAATTCAATTTTCATAATTCAGACTTAAATCTACAGCAAACTTACACCTAGAAATTAATTCAAGAAACTACTGTACAAAATTTAAAATTTTCAATAACTTCAACTCCATTCGATCAAAAATACCGTTAGTTGGGCGCCAAAATGTAACGGGTCGGGAGTGTTTTAGCGAAAGAGGAAAATCACGGCCTTCACTTAAGCGCCAGGTAACACTAGGTTACCGTGAAGGGGCAAGTTCTCAGAAACCGAATCCCGTTCCGGCTAGAGACCTCAGGGCAGGTTTATCAAAAATCCTACAAATGGCGGCAAGAATTGCACTGAACCCAACAAACGAATAAATTACCTACAGGGAGAAGACAAAATCATCGGCAAGCGGGGTTTCCTATGATGGTTTTCCCCACATTACCTACAGGGATCTACTAACGGAAAAAAAACTATTTGTTCCAAATGTGTCTCAAATCCAGCCTCGCACTACACAGATTCCGCGGTTTACTAAGGACATGCAGTTTAAATTAACGAATTCGTTTCAACATTTATTTATTGCTTCCTAGCTAGGGTTAGTGGGCTTCACTTACTGGATATGGCACTGTTCAATGTTGCTGGGTGATGTTCGTTGCGCGCGTTGTTGCATGTTGGTTGGTGTCTGCGATGATGGTGACAGGTAGGTGTAGCAAATACCTTTTCAACTTGCTATTATTTGTGGGATAGCACAAGATGGCGAGACTGATGTTAGTCGATGGATGGCTCGCAGCGGGGAGCTTTTTTTTTTCTAAATATGCCGACTTGGCGCGGTGACAACGAGGTGGCAGGGTTTTAGGCTCGTGCACGACGGGATTCGACCAGCTATGCCGACAGAGCGCTGTCGAGCGGGGTTGCACGTCGGAAGTCGACACGTGCAACACCCAACTGTCCACCGAGGGTAGACGGTAGGGTTTTACGGCCTAAGGGTAGGACCTTCGTTTGAAGGATTTTCCTTCAAGCGAATTTTAGCGTGTTAGTGTTACATATTATGTGTTTTTTACTGACTGTTATTACCTGGAGTATGGTGGTACACTAAACAACGAAGGTGCTAGTATTCCTGAAGTTATATGTATATATATCGCTCTGTAATTAATATCACTGTTACTGTCCTTGTCTAACTTCACATTAAATGTTACAAACCTCCGTGTATGCTTTTTACGTCACTTTAACTGCCTGGTATGTCTCACTGTCTGACCGTTAATTTTATTCGTTAACTTATACCTTCCCTACTTGCCACCTTACTATTGATCTACTATGTCCTATGTTCACCTTGTTCACTGTCTCGTGGTTGGAAAGCTTTTCAAGAACACATCTGGAACAATCATGGCTCTACCCTCTAGGGAGCTACAATACCCGGGCATTCGTTGGTTCGGCTCGGACTCGGACGTATTTTTCCGGTGGGCTAAACAAACTCCCATTTTTAATCTGTTTGACAGATCTGCCGTGAGTTACCAACCGCAACTGAACTCAGTGACCAAGAACGGTTTTTTAAAATAAGTGATGCCAGATTATATAAAGGATAGGTGGGATACTTTTGTAACCTCGTTACAAGGTTAAGTGATGCTCCATTTTCTTCTGACGGTTGGGACATGAGCACTAACTCTTGTCCTAGCCTTTCTGAAAAGAGAAGAGGGAAAGGAAAAGGAGAAGGACAAAGGGGACAAAGGGAAAAGGATTATGTAAACTCTATGAACATAAAAATATTTTTGATTTGAAATATACAATATCCTACCTATATAAATGCATAACGGCGGTGGTCACTACCCGAATATTGTCACTATTATCAAGTCATAAAAAGTAACAAGCACTAACATGTAATCCTTTGATTACTGGAATGAAAATGGCCAGATCAGCAACCGATTATAGATAAAAAAATCCACCTTGCCTTATGAAATATAATGTTGACAAAAAATAATAAAACGCAGCAGACTAGAACCGAACAATGGACGTTGAGATTACGAGGCCTGTGTGTTGACCACTCTTCTTTCAACGATTAGGAAAATAAAATGGCGTAAGACGAAAACCATTCATAAGTCACGCTGAAAGTCGAGCCTTATGAAATTCTTAAGTTTATTTGCCTCAGGGCAACTACAGGTTACCACATTAAAATCACGGAGCGAAATTGAAACGCAATGCACACAATGGTCCAAAAGGCGAGTTTAGGTGCCTAAACCATTTATTTTAGGTAAAAAATTTCATCGGGAAATTATTTTCATTTATTTTAGCCAATCTTCTGATGCTCAAGATATATTGTCCTTACTGTTGATGAGTTTTAAATATCAAATTTTCAAAGCAACCAGCACAATACAATTTATTTATTCCTTAATTTGTTTTCCGTATTGAGTACCAATGCTACTGACGTCAGGGAGGTAGCTCCCACACATGGACCCTACCTATCGACCCATCAACTCATGGAACAGGGACCAACGGCTTTACTTTCCTTCCGAAGGAACGCGTGATCAGAGATTTTATACCTCAGAAAAACCCAGCGGCGCCGACTGGGCTTGAAACCAGGCCTTTCGAAGTGAGAGGCAATCACGCTTACCACTACACCTCCGGCGCCGCTAGCACAATGATAAAAATAAATCCAAAAAAGTGATTAACATTTAAATACCAAAAAATGTCCCTGTGTAAAAAATTATGGCTAATGCAGACTTTTGAAAAAGTCATTGCCAAAATTGTGATTACTATGGTTTTTTCCTGAATTTCCTTGCGATTTTCCTACACCGTGAAGCTTTTCGTGGACAACATTTTTCAGACTATATTTTATATAGATTGCTGAGATAAAGAGAGTTTTGAAAAAAGCAGCTAAGTTTAAATGATTTTGATCTATTTTAAAATCATAGATTTTCCAAAATTCCCAAAAATTGAAGAATTTTGATGATTTTCTTGTCTTGCAAAAATATCTGAGAACGTGATTTCAGGAATTGCTCTAAGCCTTAGATTTAAAAAGAAAAAATCCCAAAGTTGTGGAAAAAAATTCGGATCCAAAATTCTTTCAAAACTATTTCAGATCCTGGAACTTAAATGATAAAAAAAAACCAATGCCCGCAGTGTTCGGAAAAACTTAAAAACTCAAATCTCATGCATGAGTTTATGCGCCTATGAGTTTTGCCTTGCAAAATTCAACGTCGCAAAAATCACCGATGAGTTTTCAGTTTAAAAAATTCATTGCTTTATATTTTGGCGTTATTCATTGTTATTACTATTGCTTGTGCATCAGGAGTTGGAAAACTTACACAACATGCATAGGCATGATATCAATTGACGTTTGAGTGGTTTTTATGCGTTTAAAGCTGGAATGATTTTTCGGCGTTGTGAGTGTGAGTGCGTGAATATGCATGAGAATTTCAAGCGTGAATTTTGTTTGCCGCATTCACACGTGAGTTTAT